GAGCAAGGGAGCAGTTTTTTTATTTTTTTTTTAAATAACAAAGACAAATACTAAGACCCGACCCCCCCCCCTTATTGCCTAACGTGGAATGTTGGGGCAAGTGCTGCTCGGGAGCAGCCCTGGGGGCCGCTAATGCACACGAGGAAGTGCTCTTGTCCAGCACGGCCCGGCCCTATTTGTCTCCCCAGTTAGGCAACCTAGGTTCGGACACGTGTTTCACACGTGGGCTTTCGCGAGCAATATTCATATTAAAGGGTGGGTTTTTTTTTGGGTGGATAATCGCCAACGATGTTGGCCGTGGCTGGGAATCAATCGCAGGTTTCCAGGTTCGGAGCGCAGCGCGCTGACCACCACTCCACAATAATAAAACAGCACACACACACACGCAGCATACACACACACAGCATACACGTAATCACCAGTGTCCACTTACAACGAAATGTCTGGAGACAAATCACCGGCGATGTTTCTTTTGCTTGCCGTGAGTGTCACGGGATAACGATGTGTCAGAGGCTGTAATTCAATTGTTGCCATTTCCTGACATTGGATCGTGGGACACCGCAACACCATCCACCCACAGACAAAGTGGCCCCACTGCCGACATGAATAACTGCGGCAGTGTTCACCTCCACTAGTGGCCCGAGCTTTTGGAAGTTCCACATTCCCATGGCAGGGAATGTGGAGTTTATTTCTCGGGTGGCGGCCGCGGATTGGTTGCCTTGCCGAGTTGATCCGCGGCCCGAATTTGAACTTTCGCGAACGACACGAAACACAAAGGTTCGCGTGTTCATCTAAAATCGTCGTTTTTTACTTTCACGCCGTCTGTGTCACATGGGCGGCGTCCTGTTGGTGTGACGAGGCTCCTGCATGGCTCTAGGGAGTTCCTAATGGCCATGGCGGAGACACTGGGCCATAAAGACTTTTGGGTTTCCCCAGAGTACCTCTCTCGCCCAGACACCAGCTGTCCCCCCCCCCCCCTATTATCCTGTTTAAAATAGATATATAAATATCTCTCGTAGTAAACATCCAATTAAGACTTTCAGAGTAGAGCCGGGCTCAGACAATAAATAAAAAGCTAACCACATGTTGTGTGCGTTTTGCAAACTGAGGCTCAGAGCGTGAATGAGTTATCGCTGTCCAGTCGGGTGAGGCTTAAAACTCGTTAAAGATAATAACTTAAAACTTATAACGCGCTGCACGGTACTGTATTCGCTCGCTCGTGAAGATGAGAGAGGACAACTCTGAAGCGCTCGGAGGAGGAACCACAGACGAGATGGTTAAGGTAACAACAGCCAACAATTGCCAAAGCTTTGTGGTCCTCTATATGTTAAGATGTTTTGCCCATCCTAGACGAATTCCAGTTATTTTAAATTGTGATCTGAGGGGGGGGGGGGGGGGGGGGAATCCGTTTATGTTTATTGGGATCTGAGTACCAGCTGATAAAGTTTTTTTCTGTTCAATTTCGATCGTGAACCGAGATCCCCTTGAGCTACTTGGGATAATCTTCCTTTGCTTTGTTTGTGTGTGTACTTTCGCGCTACCACTGGTGGATCAGGACGAGACTCAGATCATGGGAACGTGACCACTGCCATTGACCCAGGGCTTGCCAATCGACACGGGTATCACCTCTCGTTTGAGACACTTTAACTTATTATTACAGTTTCTATTAAGAAGCAATGCCACGCACAAGAACCAGCGTCACCCCTATAAATGAACAAATGGAACGTTCCCCAAGCTGTGATTGGCTAACGCCGTGCAGGTGCAGGGTCGCCTTTGGGGCATTCCATTTGTTGCGGGGGTAGGGGGGTGTTTGGAGAATGGGCTGCTGGTTTTAACATTCGCCCCTTGCACATGTGTTAAGCATTTTTTCAGCCTCATGCAACATTTCCTGCCCAGATGTTGATATTACAAACAAAAGTGGCCATTGTCTGTAAACCCAAAACGTTGACATTGTTTGGTTTTTATTTTCGCGCATTTGTCGCAGTCCATCGTGGTTTGTCTCCAGCTGCACGCGGATCAGGCTGCTGGTTTTATTTTTGTTTTGCCATTGTTTGAAAGTCAGTTGTGGTGGTCATAATGGAGAACGCTGGTCCTTGTCATGGTAACGCGGAGTTTCCCACCGCTGGTTAGAAGCCACGGAAATTGAAGATGAGCGTCGCCCAGTGGCTCGTTTGCGCTTGGGAAAACATTTTGACTTGATTGAAATGTACATCGTTAGATGCAGTCTTATTTATTAATTCATGTTGATAAATATATTCATAAGATGTATGTATGTCGTCTGTGTGTCTGTGTGGCTGTCAGTTTATATATATGTGTGTCTGTGTGGAGCGGTCGTGCAGTGGTTAGCAGACTGCATTACGAACTCAGCGACCCAGGTTCGAATCCCGCTCACGGCCAACAACAGTGACGATTATCTGAGCCGGTCCTGGGCCTCCCCTAGGTCGACTCAGCCTCAAATAAGTACCTACTGGGGATACAAATGAGGCCAGGCGTGGTGCTGGCCACCCACCCCCTCGCGTGCGGTGCCGGTCTTCATAGGTGCTCGCGAACAGCACTTGCCCCGACAGTGTGTGAAAAGGCTATACGGGGGATCTTTGTCTTTGCCTGTGAGTGGGTACTCCCACACACTTTTTGACCATTCGAAAGTGTGGGTTTTCTGATTTTTGTAGCCGCTATAGACATGGATGGAAAGGTATTTTTAGAAATGTTCATCTTATTAAGCCTTCTTAGGAAATCAGTCACTGGGGAGCTCGTGATGATCTCTATGTATTATGTTCAAAAATGCAAAGTGTTCATTTGCATTGGGTGCCTTAAGCCACTTTCGGAAAGATTTTGTGCGAATGAATTTTCATCAAACTAGAGGTCCTAGTTATAGAGAGGAGGTCCTTGTCTTTAACATCTGGCAAGTTAACCAGCAGTTCTATCAAGTAAGCACGTTGAACCGGTGCACAGAGACGTGCGTGTACTGATTCAATGTTGCCGAAATCATTCACTGCCCCCAAAAGGCCGTGGCCAAGATCAATTGTGTATAAAAATAAAGATATTTGTACAGTTCTTAGATTAACTCGATTTTTCTTGTGTCACGCGCAATAAGTTTTTACGACATTCTTGGTTCATATTTTTTTAATTATTTCCCTTCTACGTGACTTTACCGAAATAACCAAGAATATGAATCCCTGCAGTTACGAAAGCTTTCAATCGAATTTTTTACGACATACCGCCGCATTTATCCGCGGTGAACGGCCGTGTTTGTGTAAGCGGCAAATTAATTCTTTCTGGGCGGTCGTGCAGCTTTTTGGTGTGTTCGCCAGATTAGTTAGCGCCGGATACCATTTGTATTACTGGGAAACTTTTCCTCTGCTGCTCGTCACAACTCATCCCCCACCCCCCACCCCCGGTTTATCTCTGCAATTCTCCCGGGGTTGTGCAGTTATCCAAATGGTGCGCGCCGATGGATGTGCGGCGGTCGGTACGGTTGGTCCTCAGGGTCACATTCCCCCGAGGGCTCACGCCAAAGCAGAAGCGTCGATCCGTCGAGCGCCATTCGCTTGCATCAACGCGATGTGCAATTTGACGGGCCCAGAGGGAAGGTGGGCTGGCATATCCTCTCGACCGGGATTGGGATTCATAATCTTATACAGCGATCGTCAGTTGGATATGTTCACCACAGTACAACCCAGAGAAAGCATTGATCTCATAGCAGCTATCGTTAAATGCTTTAGAGTAGTTTGCCTGCTAGAAATGTCCACGTGATAAGCCACTTCGTTGAGCTTTCATTCGTGACTAAGTCGCTTCTGAAAAATAGCTGATTAGCTCAGTTGGCCTTACCTGGTCAAATAAAAAAGTAGTAGTTCACACTACTAGAACTAGTTCCAATTACAGGAATTGTAATTGCTGTAGTCTCTTGCCTTATTTGTTTCACACAACCGTGATTGTCCAGCATGTACCGTTTGTATAGTCACGTGACGCACCCACAATTAATTTCTGCTCGAGTGGACTGACAGCACCACTGTTGTTTGTATGTACCTTGAACTTCGTTCGCACCGTACGTAGCCAGCCGCGCTAATCGGAGGTGCGGATTAATTCCACAATCGGGAGCGCATCCCAGGTGCCCAGTAGTGCAGATATCATGCCCCACTCTCTTTCACGCGGCCTCAGGGGAAAGCCGCTCCTGACGGTCCGATGACAGTCGAAACACGATCGTCCCCAGCAACGCACGTGCTGTCAATGTTCCAGCATTAGTCGAAATTCGAGGCCTCTGCTTAGCGCCTAGAATTTGCAATGTAAACATTGAGCAAAGATAATGAGCGCATATCTGGATCGCAATTCCAGTATGCTGGCTATTACGCCATCGCTACGCTGTTGTGCCATCATCGCTGCGTTGCAGTTGAATCAATGGTGCATGCATCGTTCGAACCGCTTCAGCTCTGTCCGTCCAGAAGTATAAATAGCCGCAGTACAGTTTATCGATCGGCAGGTCGCGTTCGGTGGGTTGAAGTGTGGGAACTTCCCACCCTTCCAAGACATCTGACCAGCGTGGAAGATTAGACCAAAATGTACTCCATCAGGGCTGGTGCAGGTTTCTCTGTCCACCCAGCCAGTGCTGTATCAATGGGTGCACGACAGTCAGTGGATCTGCAGGTCACGTGTGATGGGGTAAAGTGTGGTCACGACCATCGCTTGCAACGCGTCTGCTAACCCTGCAAAAGTAGACCGAATACCCTCCAGAGGGTGCTTGAGTAGAGGCCCTTCCGTAAGCAGTCGTGCGAGCTGCATCTTTACGTTCGTCTCAGTGGTTTTCATGAATATAATAATAATAAAACCATTTCTAACGGGCGCTTATTTCACTAATTGTCTAACGCATTGTTCTATCCCCAACTCGGAGGTGTGGAGCCAGACACGGGGCCCCCTTGATTCTTTATTCTTTTTCGCTGATGCCACCCTCCGTTGCTGCGTGTGCTTCGTGTGGCTGCCCGTGGCCGCGTGTTTGCGCCGTGCAGACGAAGGTTCTGCGCGAGCGCTGGCTCCTGGAGGGAGCGCCGGCCGGCTCGGCCGAGGAGCAGGCAGCCGTGAAGAACCAGCTGGCGGAGAACGAGCAGCGCTCCAAGCAGCTGGAGGAGACCATCCACAGGTATGGCGCGGCAGGGCGTGATACGGTGCGACGCTGCCTTTCCGACGGTTCTGTTTCTTCACCTGAGGACGGCTGCTTGTGTTGTGGCCGGAACGTCGTGAGAATTTTATTGTATTATGTTTTATTACTTTATTATTTCCCTCCTACGTGACTTTACCGAAAGAACCAAGAAGGACTGCCGCACTCGTGTCCGGCATCGGGTCAGATACCCACGGGGGGCAGTGGGTATCCAACGGGTACCGCAAAGCAAGCCGGAGTTCGGCGGTCTTTCTGGCTTGCCGTCCGGGCGGGGGTCAGGTCATGCCGTGGACACCGACTCGCCGAGCGTGACCCTCGACCCCAAACGGTGGCGGCGAGCCGTGGCGACGACTCGGCTCTGACGTGGCACGCGGTGCCGGCCGTGCTCGCTTCTTCTTCTTCCTCCTCTTCCTCCTCCTCTTCTTCTTCTTCTTCCGCTTCTTCCTCTTCTTCCTGTTCCTCTTCTTCTTCTTCTTCGCGACGGATCCTGCGCTCGTTCCATCGGCCTTATGGGTGGCGGTTCTCAACCCGTGGGGAATGCTCTCCCCATCACCCAGCAGGGCATGAAAGCCTCCAGTAGGGGGGGGGGGGTGGGGTGGGGCACTGGCTACTGGACATCTGTGAAAAAGAGCTTCGTAGCTCATGGGATTTCTCCAGGAGAAATAAAGATGAAGGTTCTGAGGTTGCTGATCGTGCGCACTGTTCCCCTGGGGATTCCGGGGTTTGACCTGCACACGGAGGCTGCAACGTCACGGCCGTGAATGCACCGCCTGGGACTCGTCGGGTCACAGAAGCTAAGCAGGGTTTTTTTTAGTTTGAGCCTGGCTAGTAATGCGATCGGTGTCCGACAGGGATTGCCAGGTGTTGTGGGCGTGGGACAGATAAGTAGCCGGGAGATGGCAGTGCTGAGGAGTGTGACCCCCCTCCCTCCCTCCGTAAACACGGCGGTGGTGGTGGTGTCGGTGGTTCTCGTCGGCCTCTCCGGCTTCCTCGCAACTTGAAGCCAAACGGCCGTGACCGGCACTGGCCGAACGTCACCATGCGGCTGGGTCCCTTCCTTAGATACAGTTGTTGCACTCGCCGAGGCTTCCTCGGGTCAGTAAAGAGTCGCACAATGTTGCCTGCGGCGGCTGTCATCCAGCAGCGGATTGCGGGAGGACTGTGAATTATGATGATTTGTGTAGGCCGCATGTCCGGCACGCGTGCTGCGTGCACAAGATGGGTGACGAGAAACAGACGGCTCACTCACAACAAAACTAAACACCGCAACTGGCCCTCGCAGCGTGGACGCGACGGATTGGAAACCGCTGGTGGGATGTTCGAACCGAACAGTGGTGGTGGGGGGATGGGGGGGGGGGTTACGTTTGAAGGCACAAAGAAGGCCTTTGTTAGACGTCGAGCGAGGCGATACCCCACCGCCTCCCGGGGATGTGCGCGCTGCGCATTTCGTGTGTGCCAAGGTGGGGGGCGGTGGCGGTGGCGGTGGTGCCGTGCGCCGGGCGGTGGCGCAGTGCGGAGGCCACGTGGGGCGGTGGTTGCCGGCTGCGATGCGCAGCGTGCAGGGTGCCGTCGTGAGGCGAGCCGCTCTCCTCGTCGCTTGCCCCCGGTGGGTTTCGGAGGGTACTCCGATCGTCTGCGACTTCGTACGGCCGGTGAGGAGCAACTACTCTTGAGAGGATCAGCTCGAAGCGATTTAGATGTTCACTCTCGTCACTGCTGGCCTGTGGCCAAATCACACGGAATGATAATCATGCATTTTTATTTTATTTTAAAGCGCCCTTAAACAATGAATCTCAGAGCACCGGGGAGAGAGAGACTCCAGAGACGAGGTAGAGAGAGAGAGAAGGCTACCGTGTTAAACAGGCGGTGGAGTCCACAGTCGGGACTCATGACTCCGTATCGAGTCTCCATCTCAAGTTTCCATCTCAAGTCTCCATCTCAAGTTTCCATCTCAAGTTTTCATCTCAAGTCTCCATCTCAAGTCTCCATCTCCAGCCGCCATCTCGAGTCTCAATCTCGAGTCTTCCATCTCAAGTCTCCGTCTCAGACTCCTAGTCCCTCACCTCCAAGGGCAGGGAACTCCAGGGTCCCGGGCGCCGTGCATTCGCGGGGGGTCACCCTGGGGTCGGAGCCTGGAGCGTGGCTCCGCCGAGTTAGGGCGGTGGTGGTGGGGAACCATCGGTGGGACGTCGGAGATCTCGGTGGAGGGGTGCGGCATTGCTCAATCAACTCCCGATCTCATTGGTCATTGGAAGCTAAGCAAGGGTCGAGCCTGGACGGTGCGTTGATGGGCGGCCACCGTGCATTGTAGGTGTTGCCGCCTACATTGTGGGGCAGTGGTGGCACTCTTCGCTATGGACCTAAAATCCTAAGTTCGATTCCCAGCCGCAACCTACATTAGTGGCAATTTATTTCTGAATCATTCCTGTGCCTCCTGCCTTCACCGGCCCGCGTAAGTGACGTATGGTCAAGCAACCCCAATGAACGACACGGCAGGGGGAAGCCTTCTCCCATCAGTTGATTGGCCAAGGGCTGAATATTAAATCTCTGCTGAATACCAGATTTAAATTGCACCGTACACACGTATATAACCAGGCGCAAAAACTACACGCAGTAAAGAATGCGAGTGTAATATATAACGTTTAGTACACGTGTAGTCGGGTATTTATTTCACTTGGAGGAGCAGAAATCCTCTACGTTTCACCCAACTAGACCATCATTCCTCTGGGTGGGCTAAATTGAGTATCAGATTGTGGGAGGTAAACAGTGGGTGTTGTATGGGTGGGTAACTGGCCTTTGCCATAGGAATGTGTAAATCCCAATCACTGGCTCAGGGCTATGAATATAAATGGAAACACTTTGAATTGTGAGTCTCTTCCAGGAAATGCGTGTATTTATTGACCACAGCTGCTATGCAGAGGCACCGAAGCGTATAATGCCAGGCAGTCAGAAATAACTACTTCTAAATTAAGCGTAGTTCATGGTGGGAAGTTACGATCTTCTTAAATTAGAATCATAATCCCAGGTATACATGAGCACGGTTGGCTACGCGCGGTGCGAAATAAGTTCAACGTACACGCGTACACAAGGGGAGCATCGCTGAAGTTGAAGCTTCTTTTTCAGAAGGACCATGCATTGGGATGTCATAGTGGGCTGCTGGTGGACCCTGATGGCCTTTAGTGCGGCCCCTGACAGCACACAAATGGGAAAACAACCCCGTCGCGTTGTCACACCCCAGTGGCTTCAAACGCGTGGCGGCCCTCACGCCGATGATGTCTTATCGGCAAAAGTGGCCCCCTACTGACAAATGAGCACATGACACTGTCACGAAGGATTGTTTTTGGCCTATGGGAAGAGCAACCCCACGCACACGAGGGGACAGCGCTTAACGTGTGGTTATATGAGGATGCAAGATTGATAGGGGAAGGGATTTGGACAAACTGAGGCGTGCGATGGGGGGGGGGGGATGGTTGGGTGGGAACTGCCCTGGGGTGAACCTGCGGGACGGGCCAGTAGCGACGAGGTAGAGCGGCCGTGCTCTCCACGTCAGGGTTCAGAGTCAACAATCGCGACTCGCGAGAGCAACGAGAGCTACTGCAATAGTCGTGGCAACGGAGAGACGAGGAGGCAGCAGGACGATGATGACGGCCTAGGAGGGACGGTCGTGACCACCGAAGAGTCTTTTCGGAAAGCAACGATGCACAGCCACCTTCCACGATTCGATGAATGATCACAAATTTGGGTCTGGATTCAGTTCGCATATCCCGAGCGCTGTGCACGTGTAACATTTCGTGGGATAATTGATATGAACACACGTGAAGAGTACAATCGTGAAATGCAACATCTGGTGCGCGCATCGTAAGCATGGCGATGATTTTTAAACGAATCGTGGTATAGGTACGTCGTTGTGGCCTGTTCCACCCGGCAAGCGCCGTGAATGAGCACCTAATCACCTAGCGATGGCGTGCGAGCAAAGGAGTGTCAGCCAAGGAACGCCAACGCGCCCGAGACCACGTACATTGTGGAGATGGAGCGGTGAAATTCAGCTCGTGGCGCAAGCGTTAAGTGGATTGTATCGCAGGCTTCGCGATAGATGATCACAGCTTCGGGGAGGCCCTCATCCAGCAGTGGATTGATCATGGCTACTGCTGCTGTTGATGATGATGATTCAGCCCGGCATAGCGCATACAAAAACCGCTTGTTAGAGAATTTCCCCGAAACAATAAAAAAATAAGTGTTTCACTTGTTTTACGTTCACATATCAAATTTAAATTGCACGTGCAATAAAATTGTTTAATAACGCCAACGAAAGGGGACTGTGATTTGTGGTAGTGGTCCAAGCCGCGTTGTGTTTCCCGTCTTGGTTTGCAAGGAGACATTCCCGAGTCCGCGCGCGAGCGTTAATTTAACTTTGGGGGAGGGAAGGCGGGGTGAAACTTGCCTGCAGCAATGCGAATCTTTCCCCGCGTAAGAAAAATGTGTCTCGAATCAGAGCGTTATTTATGCATGGCCGTACAAGAGATTAAATCTCAGGGAACGCTTGAAGTTACTTTGAAGGTACCAATAAAGTAAAACATGCTTTCGCGATATACCATAGAAGCAGCGCTCATATCCAGTGCACCGCCGTGGCACGTCCGTCACATATCCGCCCTGACCAGTTAACCGCCCATATCCAGCAACTTGTATTTGCACACGCAGTGTAGCCCGTTAATGTTTCCATGAACATTCACAAATCTGCCCTTTTCCCATTCCGATGGCGTGTACACGTACGTCATCCAGTTTTTCTTCCGATTCCATTCCGATGATGGAATCGATTCTGTACGGAATCGGAAGTAAAAGGCCCATTGCGGGAGGGGCGTGTGGCGCAGTTTGGCGCCAGCTGGTGTAGAGCGGCGGTCGTGTCGCTACGGTTCTCTGCGGTGAGTAACAACGTCTTTAAAAACAGTGGCGCTGCGGCCTCTCTAAATAAAATGAACGCCGAA